ATATATATATATATATATATATATATATATATATATATATATATATATATATGTGTGTGTGTGTGTGTTTATAAAATCCAGACAAAGAACTGCTTTTTAAGTCAGTAAACTGTCCTATTGTGTGCAATTTAATCCTAGTATGGTTACACCTTTATTTTGATATTATATTGTGTGTTAAATGTTTATTCGGTGAGGATTAGTTAAAAAAATTTCATTCCAAGGAACACGGCACACTGCTTAGATGACATTTTAGTATAGCGGGAAAAAAATGTTGGAAGAAAGTAATAAGAACTAATGTTTGCAGTCTGCCACTAACCATATAAGAAACGCAGTAAACAAGTAGAAAATTTTGACTTGGTCAGACGAGACCAAAAATGGCATTTTTGGCTAAATGGGAAAAAAATTATAACTGCACATTATATTGAAAAGACTATCACAATGTGAAACACGGTGGTGGTAGCATTGTGCTGCGGTAATGCTTTTCTGTTTTTGGGATATAAATATGCAAGACTTTGGTTGACATATGAGCCAAAAACCCAATAGAAAACTTTTTGAAAAAGTTCAGAGTATGAATAGTTTTGCAAGTAGGTGACTCCTGAGTTTTAGATGTCCTGAATGTAATTTTTCGAGCAGGAGACAAATGTGCACAAAAGGTGAATGAGATTGTCCTTCCTTTCACCGACCTGTAAAGAGGTCCTAGAGGTTAAGTAAATCCTTATAATTCCAAATGAAAAATAAAAGACCACATCATTGCACATCATGCAGTTTCCACTGAGCTTCGAGATATAATAGCTTCCCATCACGACGGGAGCTTCAGCATAGAGCCGACCTGCTGATAGAGGAGTCACCATGACAACAGTGTGGGGAGTACACCGAGAACTGATAACCTGTAAAAGGGAAAAGGATGGTTCAAATTGGTTTCAGTCTATAGATCATTTGTTTTCTTTCCCAATGAAGGAAACATTTTTGTTTACATTTATCTTGTATTTAACTGCAGCTTTAAACAGCTGACTACAGGCACCAATTATAGGGCTAATTTTGCATGTTTCTATTCTCCATTAAATTAAAAGTTGGTTTTATAAAATGTAATTAAACAAATAAATACATAAATAAGAATGCAAATGGTTATTGAAGCTGGTTTAATCTAATGCATAAATCCATGTCTGTTGCTCAATGTATCTAATTCAATCCCTTGTTGCTCCACAGTTAAGTTACAGCTAATAGCTCAGCTTAATTTATGCCCTGCTCAGAGAGCTCCTGAGAGCTTAGAGCCCGGCTTCATGAAAGGGGATTTCATCCCTCCACTCAAAGGGTTATAAGGCCTTAAGTTTTAGCTCTAATATAGTGGAAAGTAGGGACTTGCCTGTTTTGAGCGTATAATGTTGAGCCACATCTTAGCTGCAGGAAGTGATACTCACTCGTTGGTATTTGTTTATGTTGCAGCTAAGCTTCCAGCACAAGGTGGGGGTTCTTTACTGCAAGGCGGGCCAGAGCACTGAGGAGGAGATGTACAACAATGAGAGCGCTGGACCAGCGCTGGAGGAGTTCCTGGATCTACTTGGCCAGAGGGTGCGCCTCAAGGGCTTCACAAAATACAGAGCTCAGCTGGATAACAAGAGTAAGATTTGCTTTTAATGTGCAAACAATGAACTTCAATAAATAATTGCTGCAGACATTTTAACAATCAATATGTTTGCTGTTTGTTTGCGCTTTTACAGCTGACTCAACAGGAACACACTCCCTGTACACAACCTACAAGGACTATGAGTTGATGTTTCATGTGTCCACAATGCTCCCTTACACACCCAACAACAGGCAGCAGGTAATCTTCATTGTTTAGAACCTTAGCCGATCCTAACATATGCACTTTTCCATGCAAACCGCCAGATAATGGTTGTAACTAGTCCCTGGGCAGCTTCTCTGAGAGGATCTTCCAATACTGATTTTTGCTAGTCCTCCCGGGAGAGTCGTTTTGCCATGGTAATAACCTATTAGCTGAAAACACGAGCATTGCCATGGAGACGGTGCCCCATAGAAGGATTTTAATCAGTGCTTCCTCACGGGATGGACCTGCCACTGTATTAGATGAGCTTCTGTCTATGTGAACAAGTGGGATTAAGTGAATGTCGTGGTTGATGGGGAAATGGTGGCTAGTGATGCATAAATGACTGTTTCAGTGCGTTGTTTTTTTTCTGCTAATGTATGGAAGTGCTTTCTGGGCCTTTAAATAAAGCTTTTTAATGCATTTACTTTTAATGTACTCCAAGTAGTAGAAAATGATGGAGAGGACTGTTATATGGGAGAAACCCGTTTGTCATTTGCACCTAAGACGAGTTATTGGTAGCATTGGGAGTTTTTTTTTGTCTTGTATTGTATAGTGAAATTTAATCCTTGGGGGTAATCTTCCAGCACTCTTTACTCAGCCCTTCATCTATCCCATTTCACCCCTGTACCCTCTAATCCTGCTTATTTTGGGCTCTTTCTGACTCTCTCTGGCAATGACATTCCAGACGTAATGAGGTTAAGTCTTTGTGTAGGCCAACTGTACATGTGGTCATGGCTGTGTTTTATTATAAACTAAACCTTTATTTATTCAGATCTTCTCACTGAGACATAAGTTCTCATTTACAAAAGAGACCTGTTAGCACATATATGAAAACCTCTACAGCACAGCAATACAACACTTGCTAAAGTACCGTGCCACAAAGTTAGGAAAATAAAGATCTCAGAACAAGAGCAAGAACTTTCTCAGACCGTTGCAAGAATGTTTAAACAAGTAGTAAAGTCAACAAGAGAAATTTGATCTGACTCTTTTAGTTCCTGTTAAAGAAAATTCCAGCTATATGCACACCGGCTGTTTCTCTTAACTCTGTACAGACCGAGAATAATGACATCCTGGAATCGCAGACTGTAATTGGTGTGCTTGGAAATGCATCTCACTGAGTGTTCTTTATTGTAAATGATGTAGGGTGATAATATCTCAATAGTCAAATGCTAATTTGTTTTAACGTTAAACCAGTAAGAAGAAAACAACCAAAATGATGAGAAGTCAAGTTTAGAATAAGAACAAGAGAAGAACAATTGAGACTTTTTTTTAAGAATTCCAAGTATAAGAGCTGAACTGGATGACAGTAAATTAAGCTTTGATTGTGATCCATGCTTTGGTTAATTATTGCCTCATTTCCACTACCCCTCTGAAACCAATCTGTGCAGAGTTCAGACCGAAGTTGGATCAGTTAACCATGCCGAGCTCAGTTCCCTTACAACCATTTACACATCACACTAGCACAGTTACTACTAACGGCAGTCCACGATACTACAGCTCTCAAGGCGGGAATTACCCAAACAAAAATGGCGGCAACCATAACATTCAGAAACTTATGTATCTGGATAGAAATCTCTGCTCAAATTTCAATGAGAACCTCGGCCTCAACATCATCCCAGGTCGCACTACGCTCTTCTGATGCAATTTATTGTCAATAGGCTGAGAAGAAGTTCATGTTGTGAACAGGTGAGAAATCTATGAATTACAAAACCAGACACGGCAGAAAACCCGCAAAAAGAGTCAGCTGACTGTAAATTGGAGATGACTCGGTCTGCTCATGCGCCCCTTGTTATCAGAGAACCAAGCCACAACTGAACCTCGCCGAGCCCTACTGTTAAACTAGTACTAGATTTATCGCGGTTCTGTTGTTTCTGGCACGGCCTGGTTCAGTTGCGTTCCATTTACGCCCAAAAGTTATCTTGGTATCGTGCTCAGACTGATCTTGGTACAGATTTAAAAGGCTAGTGTTAATTGGACTTATTAGTCTTTTTTTTTAAGTTGGAACTTTGTTCTAGGGAGGACATAAAACCAAACTCAACCATGTATTAGTTGGAATTTAGAAAATTATTGGGATTATTTAACTGTCTAATTGTCAGGAAAACACACATTTTGCTGCCTACTTGTGTTGTGTTACATTTATCCCTCAAATTAAAAGCTGGATTCTGGAAATACATCAAAGTGAATTCAGCTTTGTTTCAGTTACAAGTTGGTGGGCCGTTGGGATGTGCCTTTTCTCTGTTGTACTTAGGAATGAAAACAAACAGCTCTGATTGCTTTGCTTTATGTATTCAAACACCAAAGGAGCCAGTTCACTAACTAGGGTTCATACAGCTTCAGTATGTGCATGAACGATTTAATGAGATATAAAGTGTAATTAGTGCCAGTAAACAGTTTATAACAACAAATTTGACTTAAGTATTTTTGTAGCATTCAGCAGTTATATTGCGGTTTTTGGAGTGATGTAAAACCTAACCTAACTATGCACTAGTTTTAAGTTAAAAAGACAAACAAAACAAATACATTTGACTAATGCCCATCAGATGAATTGTTGTTATGATACAATCTTAGGAATACAGGCAGTGTTACATTTATGTATTCAAACACTAAAAGAATTATCTTAGCAGTTCATCTTTAGCTATGAGCTGGTGAGAAACTGACAATTGTCTCAGTTTGAAACCTGTTCTTAAGGAAAATAAGGTTTTTATTTTTCCCAACTTGAATTTTTTTTCCAATTTAAGACAAAAAAAAAAAAAACTGCAAAAACCCATTATCCAATTTTGTTACTCTGATTACTTCAGAAAACCACTTTTATGTTAAAATTCAAACGCTGTAGAACTTTTATTTAAAACCACCAAAAATAACAGGATTTGCATCATTACTTTGACTTTGTCTGGAAAATGTAATGTTTTTACTACTTGATAATAATGACTGTATTTATTTCTTCTCTGCTCTTTACTTTTTGTAGTTATTAAGGAAGAGACATATTGGCAACGACATCGTCACCATAGTTTTCCAGGAGCCCGGGGCCCTTCCTTTCACTCCCAAAAACATCCGCTCTCAGTTCCAACACGTGTTCGTCATCGTCAGAGTCCACAGCCCCTGCACCGATAATGTCTGCTACAGGTAGATGGAACAACCTTGCACTTTGCCTGAAAAGAACCTCTTAAATACTTTATTTTATTAGATAAGGAGAGGAGTCGGGGGGAAAAGAAAGAGAAATTGTGCAGAGCTGAACTCTGTACTAAGAATGACAATTAAGGAAGATGGGTTTTATTATTTGAAAAGGGCTTTGCAAAAAGGAATTCTTGCCAAAGTGCTTGAAGACATTAAATTTGAAAGCATAATAATAACAGCTTGGTATGCTCATTCTGTGGTTTCTGTCATGGCTTTGTTGTAATATCCACAAATCACAAGGCTCTTTTTGATGTGTGCAGTGATGATACAGTTATTATCTTCAGAGACACCTTGTAATTATGACATAGAACCGTGCATCAGGTGTGTTTGTTGGCAAAAAGAACTTTCACTAATTGCATGGGACTTGTACAGAGAAGAGGAGATTTCTCTAGGCTCATCTGAAAAGAAAAATCCTGAGCTACAATTTCACAGCTGAAAGCACTGCCCTTTCATGCCATTATCTACTTGTTAGCAGTTTTAGTCTTTCCTAACTGTTAACGTTATGGTTCATCTTATCTCACAGCGTTGCTGTCTCCAGATCCAAAGACGTGCCTCCATTCGGACCCCCTATTCCCAAGTCTGTAACTTTCCCAAAGTCGGCCGTTTTCAGGGACTTCCTGCTGGCCAAGGTCATCAATGGCGAGAATGCTGCTCACAAGTCGGAGAAGTTCAGAGCCATGGCAACTCGAACGCGGCAGGAGTATCTGAAGGACTTGGCTGAGAACTTTGTCAGCACGGCTACTATAGACTCAGCTGTCAAATTCAGCTTCATTACCCTCGGAGCAAAGAAGAAGGAGAAAGTAAAAGCCAGGAAGGAGGCACATCTATTCAGTGTGGGAGCCATTACCTGGAGCGTCTGCGCCCGGGACTTTGGGCAGTCCAGAGACGTGGACTCCTTGCTCGGCATTTCCAACGAGTTCATTGTGCTCATTGAAGAGGAGTCCAAAAACGTAGTGTTTAATTGCTCGTGTCGTGACGTCATTGGATGGACCTCTGGGATTATGAGTATTAAAATCTTCTATGAGCGTGGGGAGTGCATCATGCTGTCTGCCCATGACAACTGCGGGGAGGACATCAGAGAGATGGTACAACGACTAGAGGTAATACCCTTAAAGACTCATCTATAATAATCTGAGTCATTTTAGAGGTCTTAACACTGCTGGATTAGAATCTGGAGGTAAAAGACCTTCTTCATCATGTTTAATCCCCTGCCTTCTGCTTAAATCTGAATTTGTACCCTATAAAAATCTCAGTGAGTACAAGTCTGATATTCAGCCTTAAAACAGCACAACCCTGCTACAAAAGGAGTCATTTACTCTGCATTTACGGAGTCTGGATTATTGTGGGCTTTAATTTTGCTTCAACATCCTTCTCCAGTCGTATGCAGTGATATGACAGGCAGTGATTTCTTTGTGCAAACCCACAGCCCATTTATAACTAACACTTATAAGGTAAATTAAACAAATAACTTGTGCTTTTTACGATAGATTTGACTCTTTGTTGCCATTTCTTAAAGGACAATAAACTACTCTAATAAGATTTTATTTGCAGCAGGATTTCCTCAGATTTGCTTTTTTTTAAATTACACCGTAACGTTGAAATCAGGATCTGATACGTTTTTAAGATATTTTTTCTGATTTCTTGATTCTATTAGTCAGACAGCAATCAGGCCTAGATGTGGTTTAAGGAAATGTTGATTTTAATAACAGGTAATACAGTTTTTCTTTCTTATTAAATTAAGTGTTCGTTTGACAATTGCCTTCTGTACTTGATCATGTTAGCTTTTTCTAAAATTGACATTTATTTTTTGAACTGAAACATTCACTTGCAGCTAAAAAAAATCCTTCTGAATAGTATCATAACATATTGATAATCACTTCACTTATACAAAAATGGATAAATGTAAGGCCTCTTAACCCATCAAGAACTTGTTAAGCTCCATAACTGTAACCTATCAACACTTAGTTTACTACTCACTGATTTGACGATGAGTGAATTTGAGATATTCTGAGCCTTTTGCCGTGATTATCTTAGTTTCACTGTCAATATTAATATTATTGCATTTATTTTAAATATCTTTAATAACTTTTCAGTGTTCCTGCAGTAGTTATATTAGTTGGGTCCAACCTGAGCAATGTTTTAGACCCTCTTATTTCTGAATAATCTGTAAAATGTTTGAAAGGATGTTGGTCAGAATCACGACTTTAAGTGCTGCATGATTGAGTGTTTAAAAAAACAGTTTGGCAAAGCAATGGAAAGATTTCCTCTGCATGTTTTTTGTCAAAGTAAGCAATGAATGAAAGGATTGGGAACCTCTATTCCTGTGAAACATGAAGAGGCAGTCTGTCATCAAAATGGTCCCGTAAATCTCTCTTTCACACTCAGGCCTCGTGGAAAAATGACTCCCTCAACATTAAGTGGTTTTCCTTTGGAATAACTTTGGTCTCTGTGGTGAAACTGAACATTTTTCAGTTTCTCCCACACCGTTTGTTTTTACCAAATGCTTTGTTTTCCTTAATAGCTGAGCAATGTTATTACTTTGTTCAACCTTACCTCTTCCTGTCAAGCCTTATATGTGTTGCAACCCTATTCTACACTTCCCCTCTTTAGCTTTGGTTTCCCTCAGCATACAGAGAGAATACTGTCTGTGGCTTTTAGACAGTGACTCCAGAGAGGATGTAGATTTCCCAGCTTATGTCGTTTATTTCGGCCCATCCCTCCTCCACAATTCACCATGGTGGGAATGAACCTTTAGGGAATATTATTACATCTGTACTACCATAAAAAGCTGCAGGCGCCCACATCCTGCAGCTGACGACTCATTTGGTTGAATGAAAGATTAGGAATGACACTATTTTTCACCACTGGTGAACTGGGGGATGTGTGGGTGCAGGTACAGAGTGAGGCTGTTTAAAGAGGACACCAACCCAGTTTTAAAAAGGGGAGGAGTGGAAAAAGTGGAAAATAGACTAAAAATAGAGGACATTTGGCCTCATACTGCTCTAGTCCCTTTATGAACTTCCCACCAAGTCATCGTATCCCCTCTTTTAAGAAGAGCTACATCCCCTTCTGGGTGATGTGGTGAGAATGAGGTAAAGACATGTGTCACCTTCGGTCTACGTTCTGTTTCTAACAGTAGATCGACTCCCCAGTGCCTTTAAAAATATTTTCAATATGTCTAAGTTTTGTTTTTTCAAATCAATATCAAAAGTACAAAGTTCAAATGTCAAAGAATACAACAGTTGTTACAGCTTTTAAGATTATGTTTTTATTACAGAGGATGAAAATGTATTCAAACCAACCATGCCCTTTGTGAAAAAGTATTCACTCCTTATACCTAACAGCTGGTTGTGTCATCCAGCTTTAAATTTTGAATTTTCACTCATTCTTTGCTGGATTATTTTAATTAAGCTACATTAAAGGGTTATAAAACTTTAGCAGCATGTCCAAATAGGATGATTTTTATTGATTACAGCAGGTTATCCAGGTCCTAAAGCAGTGAATTAGTTTCAGACCGTCATGCTATCATTGCCAAGTTTGACTTTTGGTACAATGTTCTTATTCTGCGGTGCTGTGCTATGTTTCCACATGAGATCATAACTTCCTAACAACTCCAGCTTTGTCATCATGTTCCTCGCTCTTCCTTGTTTTCTGTATTTCTGGATAATTGTTCTTCCTCTCTGAGTCACAAGGCCTTCAGAACAGCTTGTGAGTTGTTTTTTTTTTCAAACTGAAAGTTAATGAGTTTGCATCGAATTTCTTTGGATCATGTAGCCTACTTCATGCTGTCTGGCAGTCACTATTTAAGGGATTTCCTGAATATACCAGTTAGGCAGTTGTGACACCTTTATCCGGCTAGTGAAACTGAACCCTGTGTTTGTGGTATGTTAAAATGAATAGGGATGCACGATATAATCGGCCCCCTATCAGTATTTTTTTATTTTTTATTTATCCTTTATTTAACCAGGTAATACCCATTGAGATTAAAAATCTCTTTTGCAAGGGAGACCTGGCCAAGATAGGCATCAAAATTACATCACATCATTACATACGTACAACACACACACATAAAAGCCAAATATGCACTTACAATAAAATTTCAATTAAAACATTGACATGTGAGGGAGTCTAACTCAAAACATCTAATTCTCAGCTTAAAAGTATTCAAAGGAACCAATTTACTAAGTTTCATGTTATTTTGCAGCAAATTCCAGGTATCGGCCTGTATCGGCCTTAAAACTGAATATCGGACATCGGCCACCCCACCGATATTTAATCTGATATTTGATCAGCTTCTGAGTTTCTAAAGTCTAAAAAAAACAAACAAACAAAAAAAAAAATACTACTTCTTCTTCTTCCTCAAAAACTTCTTTTTTACAGACTTAAAAACTTCTAAAGACGAGGGAAAAAATATTGATACATTAAAATATCACAATATCTTCATATGCTGATATATTGCCATTTAAAAACACAATATCAATCTCTTTTACTAATGAAATATTGCTATATGTCATCGTTATGCTACGAAATTTTGCCATATTTTTATATGTTGATATATTGACGAGGTATCGATCTATTTTACTAACAAAATCTCACAAGAATTTGCAAAATATCACGAGAGTTTGTAACAGAACGATGAAATTTCACGAGATTTTGAAAGTAAAATAGATCGATACCGCGTTTTAAAAAATCAATTTGATATCAGCATATGAAAATATATTTGAGTATATTATTTTAAGTGTCAGAAATGGATAACAAAACTGCTATTTTCAATGACTACTTATTTTTGTCCAGCTTTAACATCGGTATCGGTTATTGGCTACATGAGTTTTAAAATATCGGATATCGGCCAAAATCCCAATATCGTGCATCCCTAAAAATGAATTCCTAATTTAAATGCTTTTTTAAATAGCAGTAGGTTGGTTTGGATTCATAGGATTTGTTTCATATTGAAATCTTATGGATGGTAAAAAAAAAAAAATTGTGTGTGGCAAATATTTATTTCCTAGCACCATACATACCATTTCTACAGGTAAAAAATTGTTTTTGAGAACATACTGCAATAAGTTCAAATGCTCTGTAGAGCTTAGACAGCAAATCAGGTTGAATATGATTTGATAAAACTTTGCATTTCTTAACAATGTCAAAAATAAGAAAAGAGACAAAAAAACTGTAAGAATCTGAAGTATTTTCTATGATTAATCTTGGAAAAACCCAAGTGGCTTTCAGTGTCAGCTCAACTCTTCACAAGAAAGAACAGAGCGAGATTATATTAGCATTTGTGATTAGCGAGATTACGTTCTCATTCACTATGTTAATCTTCACTCTCCTTTATCCTGCTATATATCTGGAAAAAAAAGATCTGCAGGAGAAGCTCTGAATTGGTTTTAGTAGACAGGCTTTGGAGCAGCAGCGGTAGGCCTAGCCGTATCTTTCAGAGTTGACCGTGCAGCCGTCGTCCCAGTGGTGTCTGTAAAAGTCCCAGCGGTTCACTCAGGTCCCGTTTCACCCATAGGATTTACAGGCTGCCGGACTAGTGATGTAATGCGAACCAGAGCGAACAGATTGCCCACTGTTACATTCAGAGGAGCTCAGTGTGAGAGTACAACTAAAAGCTTTGTAAAGAAGCCCTTTCCCCTGGGGTGTTCCTGAATTGGGTGGCCACATGTTTGACTGTTATTAGACAAGTCCTTTTGGCATCCGGTTATATTTTTCATCTGTTTTCTTTTCCCTTATGTCAAGCTTCTTGGTTTATTTGTGGTGTGTCTCTTTCTGCACTACATGCATCCACAGAAAAGAAGAATTTGGATATGCTAAGTGTATCTGCTCCTGTTTTTAAATTATTATCTATCAGATGGGAAACAGTCTGTGAGAGTAGGGCGCCAAAACTACCACTACCCTACACCCCAACTATTTGACCCCTTGGTTGAATGACTTATGAGCATTTCACAATAAATTATTTATTGTGAATTATTATTTTATCCCCCTCAGATTATTTTAATCCTCTTTAAGCTTTTAAAGCTGCAGGTTTTAGCACTCAGTCATGCTTTTTTTTCTTCTCAGAGCAGTTTTCTACAGTTCAGTCGGTGGTAAAAGAATGTAAAACATTTGAGAAAGACTATACTGTATTGTCTTTAGTTCAAAAAATTAACATATTTTAGTGGTTTTTAGTTATTGACTTGAATGCAGGGGACCCCTGGAAAAAAGAGCAGCCAAAAGGACATAAACAAACAATACCAGTACCAAACTTATTTTAACTCACCCAAAATATTTGTACACCAAATGTAAATGAAACTATTTCATGTTATACTTGTATATTTTTTATTTATTTATTTATTTTCTTACCTGATTAGAAAGTTTATGTTCCACGTGTTTAGATGTGGTATAAATATGACAAAGTACAGAGTCACATTTCTTTTAGCCACAAGCCACTCTTAGTTGTGCAGGAACCAATGTTTATTTTGCCACCATCACAGGAGGAATGGTGATGAGGGAAGCCAGTAAAACTACAAAAGAACTAGAGCAAAGACTTGCATCTTGTCTCAATTATAGCCGACAGTTTAAATACAATAAAAGCAGATTATTGAAAGGCTTTTAGTAAAGTGTGCTGGGACCTAAACTGGAACTATATGCTTCGTTCAACCGAGACGAAAATTAAACTTTTCAGTAAATCACTCCGACTGGATTTGTTGCTGGACATACGAAGTGGGAAAGCACCTCATGTCCAATATTGGGTATGGTGGAATACTCAGAAGGCTGCAAGGCTGTTTCTCTTCCAGAGGTCCTGGGAACTTTGTAAGAGCAAATGACATCTTGAACTCTTAGAAAAAACATGCTATTTATTTTTTCTTTCTTTTTGCAAACTTCACAAAAGTCTAACAGAGGAGAGATTGCCAAAGAAATGCTAAGATCCTGTGCTAAAAAGAAGCCAGCTCTCTAAATCCACTAGATAGATAGATTTTAATGCAGCAATCCAAAATCTGATAAATTTGTCACACTTAATTTTACATTTAAAAAGGCTTATTGTAAATCAAGCCCTAGGGGCCTTTGCCAGTAAAATGGAAATGGATGGTAATCAGTTTTTTTCCTGAATAATGTTACAAATCATAATGTCTAATCAATATGGATCAGCAGACAGATAATTAACCCTCTTTCATGGCATTATCTATCAGCTAATATACATTTTGTGGCAAACAAATGGCCGAGTTTAAGTCTCTGTATGAAAATAATGAATAAAAAAGAATAAATCTTTAACAAATAGAAAGATACTGTGTTATTGTAGAAAATGGTGCTATGAATGATTCACAGCAGGGGTTACAATGACTTAGGAAATATTTCATGTCAAATAAACCATTCTTCAAATCAATAATAAGATCTATACTGAATAGATGTATTTGAATTATATACATTTATTTTAGGGATTTTACTCATCAGGAAGGCTAATGAGGTTCGAGACTGCAGCAGAAAAAACACCCGTTAAGAACCAAGGGTTATATCGTTACCTAATACTAATGAAATATGAAAACTAGAATAAAAAAAAACAAACATTTTCATTAGCTAAAACTAAAAATTAAAACCACAACTTGCAAAAAAACACCAAAAACTAACTGAAACTTTAATTGTGTTTACATAACTAATTAAAACAGAATTTTAAAGGTATAGTCGAGGATTTTAGCGAATTTTAGAAGACGGCCCTCTCCACTTTAAAAAAAACAAATGCACGTGCTCAACCCTGTAACTGCTCCCGACAGGGAACACATATTAAACACATGCTAGAGCATGCATGAGTCCATTTCTCTTTGTGCATGTTTTGAAAGTTGCTGTTTGCATCACTTATAAAAGCTTACTAATTTTTCCACTGGCATTAAGTAAGCTTATCACCTGAAGTAGGAGGACCACTTATTTAGATGGTCCATCCAGAAAAAGAACATCCTCCACTATACCTTTAAGAGAGAGTCTGCTTAGATTCTGTTTATGCCGCTTAAATTCTGCACTAATATGAGACCTAGTTTCCGGTCGCTTTTTTAGCTTTATTTTACTGTATTATGTGAGCAGATGGCAGGTACAGCAGTCAGGTCATTTATGTTGCTGCATCAGTCTGCCCCTATTTTGGATTTTTTTTCAGTTTTTTTTTTTTTTTTTTTACTTGTATGTAAGTCATATTACTTTAAAAAACTGTATAACTGAAACTAATAAAAACTAAACTGCAACTATGCATTTTAAAAAAAACTAAACTACACTAACTGACAATACTAAAAATAAATTGAAATTGAAATAGAATTTAAAAATCAGAAGAGAAAACTGAATGAGAAATATGTAACCCTTGTTCAGAACCACTCAAAAAAACTCACATTTGTTGATGAGGCTTTTGTCAGTCTGTGAACCACATAAATCAGTGCTAATCAGCACCATTTGTAGTTATAACTGTCAGTTTAAACTCTGATGTCTTAGAATTTGCCTTTAGACAAAGCCCTGCTTCATCCCAGTTGACGCTGCTGCTTTAATATGTTCTGACTGATAAAAAAGAAAAGTCAAATTTGCAGCACAGGGGAAACATGTGACCCTAACCTGATAGACATCTTTCAGTTTTTTGAAGATTACCAGAAATGACAAGGTTTTCACCGGGTTTATGAAATATGCTTCCACAGATGGTGTCATCACTGTCAGAGCTGGCTTTGTCAGGTTTCTCTGTGTGGATAAGAGCCACCATCACTCGGATTAAGGCTGTTAATGTTTCCCTCTTTCTGACAGTAGCTGCATTTTCAAGTCATCTGTTATTAGAGCAACATCTTTGGGTTTGACCTGAAAAGATGTCTGCCAAAAAATGTGCTGAATGTTTATGCTTTTATTTATGAATTTAGTAAATAAGAAAATGATTGAAATGCTCATTCATTTCAGTTATTTAATTAATTTTATGGAATGGCATATGTAGATTAAACACAGACTTATGTTTTAAAGCCTTTATTTCTCTAAATGATGATAGCTTTCTACTGGCAGCTGATTAAAATGGGATTCAAGATCAAATCAAAAGTATGTTTAAAGCAAAGTAGCATTTTTCCCCCCTAAAAATTATATGAAATAAGAAAAATACTTTTTTTTTTTATTACAAGAAAATTATAGAACATTTTTGAAAATGTGCAGTGTGTCCCTACCCTTTGTCTGAAGAGTGTTCATCAGATAAAATATGCTGCTATTCGATCCATTTTTGGTAAAATAATGCCTTTCAAGTTTTGTGAAAAGCAAAAACAAAAAAACAACATTTTTTTTTGCAGTTTTGATCAAAACCGTCAAGGAAATAATAGTGTGACTCCAATTCCTTTCAGGAACAGTTTTCAAACCTATATTTCTGCTTTTGGACCAAAAAGGAGCCGATTACTCTGAAAGCATCAAAAGTCAATTTCCTCCACTTTTAATAGCAGCAGAAACATTTGGTTGTGTTTTTACTATAAAAGGAAACTGCAGCTAATTCTATTTTTGCATACTCAATTATTGTATGATTGTTTATCATTATTGCTCTGGGTTTCCTGTCAAACAGCATTGTAGTTTTTCTGCTATAGTGAGCCTGTGTGGACTGTCGATGGCCCATAGTCTGTTAATGTGTTGCTGCAGCCAACTGCCACTCTGAAGCAAATGGAGGTAGTCTCCGACAACTGAACCAAAACTAATCTGATGGGTGATTACAGCTCTTTGCGTGCAGTCTACGGTTCTTTAGCTTACCCTAAGCGATTGTCAGAAAACTGCTCAACATTGTCCACTATTGCTATACCATTTCACAGCTTAATAGAATTTAACCTGCATTCTGAATTGTTGTCAGTTCATGATTGGTTTCTTGTTGTTTCTGTTTTTACACAGATAGTCAAGCAGCAGAAAGTAGGTTGGGTGAACTTTGTCTGAACCTTTAGAAAAGGGTATTACCAAGCAAACTATCCAAGCCAAGTCTTAATTCACACGCAAGTGTATGACTGTTTTAATTTTTTCCAGACATGCATTGGACAGGCTTGGATTGTCCATCAAACTTTCATGGATTAGGTGTCATAACTGACTGCAGTCTGAAGCCCTACAGAAATAAGGTGGCATCTTTAATTTGTTTACTTCATGCTGGATATGAACAGAATGAGGCGGCAGCTGATGTAGATTATGTTTGTGTTTAACTGTTGGGCTCCAGAGGCCACTTCAGACATAAACTCTGAGTCATGAATAAAACCCTGTGGAGATTCTGGTGTCTCAGAGGCCAATTAGAGTTTTATTCATGCAGCTTTCATAGACATTGTACTATATTCTAGATACAGAAACGTGTGTCTCTGTGCTTATTTCAGGCTTTATTGTTTGTTTAGAAATTATCTCTTTTATATCTTAAAATACTTTAAAGGCTAGCCTTTCAATAGTTATTTCATCTTTTTGAATGAGCACCAAAAAAAAAAAAAAAACACTTTGAAAAGGGGGGGCAGTATGTGGGAATACTTTTATTTTTCTTTAGGGGGACAGAGCGAACAAGTACTGGACAGTCCTGAAAGAAAACCCTTTAAGATTTGGAAAAGGCTGGGGAAAACCTTCACCTTTCCTTGGGGTTTCTTATACATAAAGGAAGACTGGCCATTAAATGGTTTAGATAAAAGCGTACGAGTGCTTTAGAATAGACAGTGACCTCAATCAACTGGATTTAGGGCAAAGTCCAGACATAAATCCCGTTACGAATCTGTGGCATGGCTTGGAAATTGCAAGTGTAAATGCAGTAAATATGTTTTCACAAACTTACCTCAGAGGGCTTCAATACAAATTTATGGAAAACTGATTCCTGCTATTGATTTTATTTGTACATCTGTAGAAAAACTGTAAAAACACCCAAAGTTTTTCATTTTTACATAAGAAATGCTGAACAGGTGTTGAGGAATTTCCCTACCTAAAACCTATTGGATCTGTACAGTCCAGAGGCTAATAATTTCCCTTTTTATGTAAATTCTGATTCCAGATTGTCACCAGAGGCTGTGAAACAACAGAAATGACACTGAGGAGGAACAGCCTGGGTCAGCTTGGTTTCCACGTCAATTTTGAGGGTATTGTTGCTGATGTAGAGCCATTTGGCTTCGCCTGGAAGGCAGGGCTGAGACAGGGCAGCCGGCTGGTGGAGATTTGCAAGGTGGCCGTTGCCACTCTCACTCACGAGCAGATGATTGACCTCCTGCGCACATCCATCACAGTCAAAGTGGTTATAATCCAGCCCCACGAAGACGGCACTCCTCGAAGGTAAGCTTTCGGTCTTTTTAATTGTGCCTCGCTACCATCAATCATGTCTCAGTTTTCAGTGAAAGAAGTTTTCATAAACATTTGTTTTCATTTCATTATCATGAGATAAAACAGAAATAAAAGACAATGCTCTATAGAAAACCTCAAAGCATATTCTTAAAATGTACAGAACTTTTTGTCCTTACATACCATCCATCCATCCAGCCATGTATCCATCATCTATCCATCCATGCATCCAGCCAGCCAGCCAGCCAGCCAGCCATCCATCCATCCATCCATCCATCCATCCATCCATCCATCCATCCATCCATCCATCCATCCATCCATCCAATAATCCATCCAGCCATTTATCCATCCATGCATCCATCCATGCATTCGTCCATCCATCCATCCATCCATCCATCCATCCATCCATCCATCTATCCATCCTTCCTTCCTTCCATCCATCCAGGCATGTATCTATCAATGCATCCATCCATCCATGCATCCATCCATCCATCCATCCATCCATCCAGCCATTTATCCATCCATTCATCCACCCAT